CTGCAACTTGTTTTGCAAAAGCCATGCGGCGGCGATTGCGATAAGTGCTTGGCGTTGGCTGGTGCTTCTCTGCATCCGCGCTAGCCTGCGCATGCTCGCGCGTTCAGCGGCCAGCTAGTTTGGCGCGGCCGACGCGGCCGCGGTGGAGCTGACCGCCGGGCAGTTCCCAGCGGGCACTTCAGTGCGAGTCGGTGATTTGGACGGGCGCGCTACCATGGCGACGCTGGCAACGGTAGACCGATTCTGATAGCAGCGATGATGGTGACGATGGTGGCGATAACGACGGCAAGGCCAATGCAGGCGCTGCTGCTGATCACGCCCGCCGATAACGATGACGATGTCCTCGCGTCGGCGATGAAGGTTTTAGAAGGAATTTGACATGCGTGTGCGGCCCACGCGCGCGAGTGGCCCGCGTAGTATCAATTGACACGGATCGCGTCCCCACTCCCAGCACGCGCGCAAGGGCGTTCGAATCAGTTCGACATGCGGCGCGAGAGGCCCGTGTGGCAGAATCTGATGAACATGTTGGAAAACCGATGGTTCCCCTGAGTTCCCGCAGCATCGCGAACGCAGGCTTGTTTTGAAAAATGATGCTGCCAGACCATGTGTTGTATCTGTTTTCGGGACTGTCGTTTTTGAAATCCTTGCGAAACCAAGGGTTGTCTAAGGATTTCGGCACGCGCGCGCACGACGAAACCGCGCGACGACGCGCGCGCGCGTGTGCACGCCGCCCCGTATTTTGCAAAGGGTTTTTGCGACAGCGCGCGCGCAAAAGGGCGTTCGAGCGATGTCGACGCGCGCGCGAGAGGCCCGTTTGGTAGAATTTAATGAACATGTTGGAAAAAACGGAAGAAGCTTTTTGAACAAATTCGTGGGGGCGCGGGCGCAGGTTTTTGTTGGGAGCACTTGTTGTGAAACCATATGTTTCCATATGTGTTCGTGACTCTCGATTTCTAAATCCTTGCAGAACCTCTTGTGGTTTCAGAATCCTTGCAGACCTCGCGCGCGACGACGCGCGCGTGCGTGCACTTCGTCTTGTTTTCGGCCGCGGACCCTTGAACATTTATGATATGTTATAAACGAGCGCGCGCGCATAACATTTTTGCATCGAGGGGGGTGGGGGGACACATTCCGGCCTGGTTGGGATGGTATGGATTCATATGGAAAATGAGCGAGTATACAGAATCATATGTAAATGGCAATGCGCGGGGCCGGTTTGATAAGCCCGGGGGGGGACGGGGGCTGACGTTAGTTTTTTCGTAGAGAGGAGAATCTATGACGTGACATTTTTGCTGAGTAATCTCTTCCCCAAACAATGATTGCAATTGGGGGTTCCGACGTCTCCTCTAAAGAATTGCGCCTGTCTGTCGGTCTGGCGGCTATGTTGCCGCCGTCGCCACCCCGTCGCCGCTTCGTCGCCGCCCGTAGTCTGGGCTTGTCTGTCGGTCTGGTGGCTGGCTTGCCGCTGTCGCCGCCCCGTCGATGCCTCGTCGCCGCCCGTCGCATGGGCCTGTCTGTCGGTCTGGCGGCTATGACGACGCCATCGCCGCCTCGTCGCCGCCCGTCGTATGGGCCTGTCTGTCGGTCTGGTGGCCATGTTGTCGCCGTCGCCGCCTCTTCGCGCCTTAAATTCTCTTGCCCAAACAGGAACTAGGATCTCCTCCCCCCACTTATCTGCTCAACAAAGGGATGTGCAATGTACCTTCTTCTGCCTCATCGTTCACTATGATCTTG